CCTGCTCGGCGGGGAGTCTGCTTCTCCCTCTGACCCTCCCCCCTCTCATGTGCTTTCTCTCTCTCTCAAATAAATAAATAAAATTAAAAAAAAAAAAAAAAAATCTTTTCTCCCCATCTCGATGTGTTTAAATCCTTTAGGATCTAACTGAAAATTTTACCTGTTAGTCCAGTTAGAATTAGTAATACTCCAACCTATCTTTTTTTTTTAAGATTTTATTTATTTGAGAGTGAGAGAGTACAAGGAGAGGAGGGGCAGAGGCAGAGGGAGAAACAGACTCCCCACTGAGCAGGGAGCTGGATGCGGGACTAGATCCCAGGACCCTTAGATCATGACCTGAGCCAAAGGCAGACGCTTAACCGACTGAGCCACCCAGGCGCCCCTACTCCAACCTATCTTATAGTGAACTTTTATCTCTGTAGTGTCTGACACATTTTAAGTACCAGTAGGTGGAGTGGAGGTAAAGGAAAGGGAGATGGAGTTGTGGTTGTTGAAGAATTTGATGAAATTGATTAAGGGTGAATGTTGAATTATCTGGGTTAATGACAAATAATGAGAATGTAAGAAGTTGTCTAGAAAGGTAGTTTTGTGTTATGGTTAGCAGCTTTTAAACTTGAGTCTTAGCAGTTTTAGCTCTACTTAATGATGTATAATGACCCATTTGTTGCTTCAGTTCTCCTGGTTCTCTGATTGCTGGAAACTAGGAGCTTGAAGAAGGGCCTATAATTAGTGCCAACATTTAATAGAGTTTACATTTATACTCTAACTCATACCCTAAAAGATTTATTATAGCATCTTGAGGTCTATGTCAATGTTTCCCAAACTGTTGAGAATAATACCATAATTACTCAGATTTTTAGGAGTTTTTGTGATAAAGATTGATGCTAGAGATATTTTTACTTACATTTATCTTTTAAATTACTTTAAAATGTGAAGGTCTTTTCAACATATAATAAATTTAGTAGTTACTATGTGATAGAAATTCTTTTAAATGTGTTATAGTTTGCTATACCCAAGAATGCCAGAAAGTTATTAGAGATAACCTAGTGCTTAAAAGTATAAGTTTTCCTGTTTGAACAGTTAATGTGTATCTTTATTTGATTTGTTTTATAATTGTACCGATTCATGATCTTTTTTCCTTCATTTTTAAACTTTATTGAAGTATAATTTGCATGCCATAAAATATACCTGTTTTAAGTGAAACTCAGTGATTTTTAGATTTAGCAAATTGTACCACCATCACCACAATCTAGTGTTTTGTTTTGTTTTTTTTAGGATTTTATTTATTTATTTGTCAGAGCACAAGCAGGGGGCTCGGCAGGCAGAGGGAGAAGCAGGCTCCCTGCTGAGGAAGGAACTGGGTATGGGACTCATCCCAGGACCCTGGGATCATGACCTGAGCCGAAGGCAGACGCTTAACCGACTAAGCCACCCAGGCGTCCCCACAATCTAGTTTTGGAATATTTTCATTATCCCAGTAAGATCCCACCTTCCAGTTTATTTTTTTAAAGATTTTATTTATTTGAGATAGAGTGAGAGAGAGAGCACAAGCCAGGGGGCAGAGGGAGAGGGAGAAGCAGGCGCCCCACTGAACAGGGAGCCCAATGCGGGGCTTGATCCTAGGACCCTGGGATCATGACCTGAGCCGAAGGCAGACACTTCACTCGCTGAGCCACCCAGGCACCCTAATCCCTCCTTCCAGTTTAATCTCATATCCCAGGCCTAGGTGATGGCTAATCTACTTTCCTTCAGAATTTTCTTGAGAATCTCATGTCTGATATTTAGTATTACTTTATGTCCATTTGTTACTTTGGGAGAATAGAAGGCATTAGGGATTTCAGCTAGATGGGAATTTGTATGGGGCAAGTTGATAGATATCGCGGGTGGAATTTGCTTGTGTGATTTCTGCTGTCAGAAACATCCTTTCCTGGGATGCCTGGGTGGCTCAGTCGTTAAGCGTCTGCCTTCGGCTTAGGTCATGATCCCAGAGTCCTGGGATCAAGCCCCGCGTTGGGTTCCCTGTTCAGTGGGGAGCCTGCTTCTCCCTCTCCCACTCCCCCTGCTTGTGTTCCTGCTCTCATGCACTCTTTCTCCCTCACTCTCTGTCTGT